TTATTGCTCCAGGTTCAATCAAATGACAGATCCTCGATTTGACAGTGGCTACAAAAACGACGTTTAATAAAATGGCTTCAGCGTCATTTTATTAAAAAAATAAATAAAAAAAATGTTTTTTATTTCTAAAGACATGTATTATTAAAGCCTTAAAACGAATTTTATATTACTTTTATTGTTTTCCTAAAAAAAATTCCCAAAGTTACCTATGATTTTTAGGCGCTCAAGGTGGTATAACCCCTTAAATATCCTTATCAAATTTGCAAATAAGCACTGCAAAACGCGATATAGAATTAATGCAAATAAAGAAATAAAATAATGTTTAAACCAATATGAAAATTGTACTCAAATTTTATACACTCAGACACAATAATAAAACAATCTATATGAAATTTTTATTTATTCCTGATAATGTTTTGAAACATGACACATCCTTAAGTTATTATAAACCAGATTATTCATTGTTTTTGGGTTTCAAGACATATTCACAACCAAATTTTGTTTTAAATTTCAAAATCTTTTAACTGATACATCCCAAACATCCTTAAATAGTTTCTTTCTGCAATTCTTTTATCATTACGTTTAGTGTCTTTTGCAATTTTATTATTAAAATAAATATGAAAAAACAGTACGAGTGCATTAACTTTTATTACAAATTCAACGAAGTCTTTTTCAAAGCAACGTGTATAAACAATTAATGTCAAGATAGACCGTTAATGTTACATACAAATTAAGAAACGAAAAACGTCAATATGATCCAAATGGATCTTGGTGCTCGATAATATTATATTATCGGAATCTTAAATTGTAAGTACCAAGATCCGCTTGGACCGTGTTGATGTTTTTCGTTTCTTAAAATCTTTTTCGTTAAATATCATTTTATTTTAATATTTTTTGTATATTATTTATTGTCTTTGGTTAAACTTTTTGTTGCATTGAGATACATCTGTTCACATCTTTAAGAATTTTTTATAAAAATATATATCCTGAAACATTATACATTTTTCATGAAATATTTATTTAATTATCATATTCAACTATGTTACAAAATCATATGCTTTATTAGATTATATTCAAAGCAATATTATTAATAAAAAATAAAAGAATTACGTGTATAAATTTTATTCTATTCTTTATCTTATATTTAACACGACTTTGGAACATCTTTCTTTGTTAAATTTCTTGTTAAAAAATAGATTTAGCCAATAATAGTGTAATATATTTTTTTATATTAATTTATTTCAGTTAAATTTATTATATGCTCGTAAATATTTTTAGAAATGTTCTATTTTTACATAGAAAATTATTTTTACAATATATTATCTGTAATTTTTCAACTAATACTTGCATTTGATACATTTTATCATTTTTTAAATAATACAAATTTTTTAATAGTTTGTATTCTATTAAGTAAACATTCTACAACTGCATTTGTATATTTATTACAAAATAAATGCATGAACAGAAAAGAATCAAAGTGCTTGCTTTACTCTAAATATATTTTAAATGGTTCTAATCTGATTCTAATTTTAAATTAGAAAATTCTATTCATACATTTATCAATTGTAAAGTAATTATAAACGCATAAAAGAAATTTCTCGAATTAAAATTAGAAAAGTTTATTACTTTAGCTTATATTTGCCAAAAACAGATATTCCCGAATTAGAATTAAAATCAAATTAGAAAAGAATGTATTTAACATGTTTTCAGCAAGAGGGATTCTATTTCTTCTTTGCCCATGCATTTACTTTATAACAAACATATAAATAATATAAAATTCATATTTGATCAAACTCAAGATATGATATTTAATATTTAATTTTATTAATATATTTAACATTAGCTCTTATTTTATTTGTTAATAATATTTTTAATAAACTAGCAATAGTTAAAACTGTTTAAAAAGTTATTCAGAAAGAATTGACTAACATTTATCAAGACTAAAATTGAATTTATATTTTCTTTTCCATAGTTCCAACTGATAAATATTTAATAATATTTAATTCATATATTATCCCATTATTAAAAAATTTTGAATATCTAGATAACATACAACACAACATAATGGACAGACTTTTAAATTATGCTATTTTCATCCATTTTATTTAAATAAATCTATTTAATGCTAAAAAAATATTATAAAAGTATACCCTTCATCCATGGAAGTGTATATGACGCTTGACACTTAAGACAATGACCAGTATGAAACGTTCCATGAGCTTCCACTAGTTTATCAGATGGTAATCCAGCTATACGTTCCAGTGTATCGATGTTCTGAGTATAATGTCGTAACAACAGATCTTTCTCCCATAGTAGACGAATAAAATAATGGCTTATTGTAGGTTTGAATCCTTCTGGTAATAATTCTTTTGCAAGAGTAAAGAAAGGTTCTGGATTCTTCATAAAAAAACCTAATTCGAAAATAGCCTGTGGATGGGGTAAATTATATTTGTCTAATTTATGATAAAGTCCACTAGATGGAGACCGAAAATCTGGTATTCCAGCAGCTGTAAAAAAATATATACATTTATAATATTTATATGTACAGTCATGGATATATCGGTTGTGACATTTTCTTTCATAGGTTTTTAGTATATATTTTATATAATATATATTTTATAGATAACTAATATCTTGCAAATGTAAACCACGATGTACTATATTTAATTTAGAGACAGAATACCAATCATAGTTCGCATTTGCAAAATATTATTGCATTTCGAAACCTATTAAAAAAAAAGTGTCACAACTAATTCATTATCATGTATATATATATATATATATACATATATATATATATATAGGTATATATATAATATAGAATTTTATATCTATATATATATATATATATATATATGAATACATATGTATATGTATATATATTACATATACATTATATATAATGATCAAATATAAAACCATAAAATTAAGATATATAATTATAAAAGAATTCTATATACAGAATATACATTATTCTATATACATACATAAAATATATATAAAATATCTTTAATATAGTTACAGGTAGAAATTCCAGCGCCTGCCATAGTAATGATTTTGCAATTTGTGTTCTCTTTAATGTATTCAGCAACTCCATCTAAATTCAGTTTACGAAGAACCAATTGCTGTGATGCGTTATTTTGATCATTTGCTGGCAAGTCAACAAGTCTTAATTTTTGAGCAAAATATCTGCGTAATCTCTCCATTTCAGAACAATCTTCTACTTCCAATGATTCAGATGAGATATTTTGTTTTTCTTCATTTGGAATATCATCTAGAACAAATAAAAGAACTGACATCTAAATACATAATTTTAATAAAAAAAAGTATTGCATCCAAGCTATGCTATGGTATATTTAACCACAAATGTTCTTAACAATAATATAGAGAATTATTTTTATATTAAAGCGACTTAACATAATTATTCAGATTAACTTACATATCAATTATAATACCGAGAAAAACTATAATAGAAAAGAATACATTTACATGATATATCGTCTTTGTATTATTTTTTGCTTCCTTGTAATTTGAAAAACCAATCGCAGCAAAAATTACACGCACACTGTCTTCACTGAAAAATTACCTTTTTGATCTTTATTCTCCTTGTCCATATTGTAACTCAATAATACGATTAATGTAGTTTTGCGAGATGCAGTTTATCTATCGACGATATACTCACTTCATGGATGACAGGTATCACGAAAAAAATCTTATGCAATAAACCAAAAACTATACGCAATGCCATGCATTAATTGTCCTCTTGAATGATACATATATATGTAAAATTCTTATAATTCCTTCATTTTTGGTTAGACATTTTTAATATATATATGTATATATATAATTTATTAAACATAATTATATATACATGCACCACACACACATTACACTTAAATATATTCAAATGCACTGTTCTACGTAGTTCTGACTTTCTGAGATACTCAGGCGGCTCAGGCCAGGCCTACTTAGGCCACTCACAATCAGCTGTGCATGTGAACAATCATCAAGGCGTAATCACACTATAGGTGCGTTCCTTTTGGACGTTCACGCGCTATAGGGTGCGTTCCCAGAGCGCGTCACGCGTCGCGTTATGCCGTTATCCGAATTGACCAATCAAAACATTCTATTTTATTGCGTAAGTTGCCGCGCAATCCTAGATTTTATACAAAAAAAAATTATTTTATCTCTAGAATGTCAAGTAACCTAATCGATGCGTCGTGCAAGGAATTGTGCGGTAAATGATGCAATAAAATAAGATATTTTGATCGATTAATTGTGAGTATTGTAACGTGACAGACGACGGGACGCGTGACGCCATAGTATAACCAGTAGGTTCACTCAACGAAAAACTGAGTCTTCACGCAGGTAGAGTCCTAGATTATCAGAGAAGCGCGACCGGTGTTACGAGTCCTGATTGGACACGCAAATGGCCAATCATAAGATTGATTTATCGCTATTATAAATGGCTGCCG